CCTCTGGGTTGATTTACTGCTTGCCAGAATGTTCTCACTGGTCACTACGAGCTACCAGGAAGCTTTAAAACACACATCTGGCAAAGAGGAATATGATTACTATAAGTAACTTTACCCCATGATATATGTGGAGCCTGGTACATCGCATTCTGATTAAATTGAAGATATGTTAATGGGAAGAAAAAGTTCTGGCTATTGAGTGGGGCTCTTGTCCGCATAGGCACTTTGAACAAAGCCATCTGTCTTCCAGAAAATGGGGATTTACAAGATAATAATGTGATACTTGGGCAGGAACACGTGTTGCTGATGAAAGTCAATCTCTGACTTGGCAGTCATAAGGGATACTTAAGCCAAATTTCCTCTTCATGAGAGCACATTCTGAGGTCCAGAGTTTGGCAGAAAGATAGGTCTTTACTCTCCTGAGCAGAAGGAAAGGATGATACAGGACCACTGTGATTCAGACTGTGAGAACTCGCAAAGCAAGATGATACACTCTCAGGAGAATACAACTTTTGCTCCTTCAACTCTTCCAATCCTTGGGAATTGAATATTGACTCATTCCCTTCACCACGGCTATTAGTTTCCTGCATGCTCAAGTCCTGTGTGTTCTATAATGTCCTACTCAATTTCAGCTTCCTTGTCACCATTAGTATCCCACCATATTATTTAATACATTTATAAACATCTTTCTTTTCCTATTGTCCAATCCAGTCAAATTGACATACCTATTCTGTACACCTCTCTCTATCTCCATTCCTGATCATAACTACTGATGCTTATTGGACATGGGCTACATGCAATATATTCAAAGATTAATTCTTTGCTTCAACAATTCTTTGAAGTAGACTCTAATCGTTATTTTATACATGAGGAATCATGGAAATGGAAATGTTAAATAATTTGACCAAATTCACAAGTGTTAAGTGACAGAGGCACTTTCAAGAGTTCCTGTCTTGGCAAACTATAGATCTGAGGTACACAGCAAGGAAGGGGGGAGGGGAAGGGAGTAAAAAGAGGAGGGAAGAGCACAAAGGACTATGGTGCATGGGCGCTCTGCTGGTGGGAGAAATATGGGGCAACACCTGGGGGAGAAATAAAATATTGTACAAAATGAACAATGATGTAAGAAAATAAAAATAAATAAAAGAGTTCCTGTCTTAATTGATAGGTTACAATGACTCTCCTGCCTTACCCTAATCATCCTTCTAGGACTTTTTGCTCTAAAAACCCTGACTTTTTCTACCTGAGGACCTTTGCACAAACTATTATCTTATCCAGAGTGTCTGTCCCTGCCTTCCATCCTGACTGTCTCCCCTAGTTAATTTCTTATCTTTTGGGGCACAATTAAAGGTCATTTTATACTCAGGAAAACTCTCCACCCCTAGATCAGTTCAAATTCTGCTAAGTCCAAACAGATTCTGTTAATGTATCACTAGATTATCAATTTCATGAGGGTAGGGCAGAAATTGAATGTTTTATTCATCATTAGTATATTTTAAACAACAAGCAAGTTTTAGGTTCAAAACCTAAAGGGACGCATCTTAGCTCCCTTGCTAAAGTGCACCTTCTTTGCGGTCAGCAACTATGTCTCAGTCCTATTATAATGAACATAGCTTGGACTTTGATCCACGTTAATTTGAAATGCATTTATAGCACTGTCTCTGGCATTTCTCAAGACTCAACTTCCCCTTCTGTAAGTGGAAATAAAGGCAAAGTGATGACTAAATGCGGTACTGAAAATGATATCCTCGGTAATGACTTAAAGAAGTACTGAAAATGCCCTCTTGAAGCTGTCTGGAAATGCTTTTTAGATCTTTCTTTCCAGTTACATCCTTGTCTTCCAGAAGTGTCATGACATGATCATGTGCAGTGAGGTTGCATTGTTCATGTTCAGGTCATGTCCCACCCTTTTCACCCAGTTCATCTCAGAAGGTAACTTCACTGGTGGCTGGCCTGGGTGCCACCATATATAAATATGCACCCATGTTGCAGTGACTGAGAGGTTAAGGATTTGCTAGGGGCAAGAGAAGGAAGGGAACATTGTACGTGTTAAGTAGCCACTATGTGCCACATGTTTTTATATATTATCTCATTTAATACTTAGCAAAAGGAAACCTGATTCTATAAATGAGGAAACTGAGGCTCAGAGAGGGTGAGTGTCTTGTTCCTGGTCTCAGAACAAGTAAATGGTGGGGACCTGAGTTGAACTCAGTTTCTCCATTGGACTTGCTCCTGTCACACCAAGGCACTACCTCGAAAATGATTCTCCTCCTTGCTCTTACTCCTAGGTCAAGGCATTAAAAGCTCCAAGGCATCTTTATGTATCTTGAAAGTCAACCTGACTCTCTTGATATAGAAAGATGTAGATATTTAGTAATGTTAGAGCACACAACGTCTCAAGATTAAGTACATATCTGCAAATGAATTATTTGGAGTCTTTCTTTTACAAAGCCACATGCCAGCCCTCCCTGGTGGCACAAAGGGTTAAGTCTCAGCACTATGAAGCTATCTACAGCCACTGCAGCAGTTTAATCTCTGGCCAGGGAGGTCACCCACATGGTTCAGCAGACCTCTCCTGCCTCACCCACTGTTCCCCTTAGCGGTGCATTTCAGTCAGCCTGTTCTGCTCCCCACTCTGTCTCTGGTGAATCATTTTATCCTCCCTCCTCCATTTCTACACCTCTGGCCTATACCTCAGCTCTTGTATGCATAAATAAATAAATCTTTAAAACAATAAAAATTAAAAAGCTACACGTCACCTGAATTGAAAAACTAACGCTGAATTCAAAATGCCCAAGACTAAAATGTTGACTAGAAACAATTTTAATTAATCTAATTTTGAATAAGTTTTAGTTGATGAGTTAAGGTAGTCATGACCAGCCTCCACGTCTAAATGAAATGAAGAGTAAAGTCTAGAAGGGAAAAGGAATAGGACAGAGGATGCTACCCCAATTTGGGCTTGATGGAGAAGTGCACTTCTTGAGTTTGCACAACTGGCTCCATCCACACAACCAACACACTGGCTGCCTCGTACACCCATGGGCCAATCTCTGGGGGCCTTTTTGGAATTACACTGCCAGGGCCACTCCACTCCGGTCTAAGGATTCAGATTCACTAAGGATGATGCCCAAGAACCAGCATCTTGGGCACCTGTAGAGAAGTTTCTGGTTTCTAAGATTTGAGAACAGTTTTAGGAGCTCAGTAAAAATTGGAAGATCATGGTAATTCAGCATATTTATGGGGATGTAATTTTCTTTTTAGAAATTTGGAATTTTAAAATAAATTGTATTTAAAAATGCAAAGTATATAAAAATTGTATCCACTAAATGTAATAGAATCCCACTTTCAAAATGGAAGAAATAATATATACATATATATAAATTTATAAATATAAATTACATATATTGTGGAAAAGGAGATGTGGAATTAGCTACCCTCACCAAGGAGGGAGCAATGAACAATTATTAGATAGATAATTGTCTCTTATGGGGGAACAGCGTGTTTTCTAAATTTATAACCCTTGGTATGTTCCTTAGCTGGGAATACACCCTGAATCAAGTGCTAATTAATTGCACATTTAGGACAGTCTTATTTTGCTTCTATACAATCTCCAGAAAAGGTAATATTTTAGATAAAATGCTTCCTTTCTTTATCTCAATCCTTTTCCCTGGTTAAAGGCAGTTCTCCAAGCCACTGCCCTGCCTAACACTCCACTAATTAAATTATTTTTTGAATGAGAAATAAGTTAAAAAAAAATAAGAGTGAACAGCTTTTTGTCAATAGGCAAACACCTCTCTTTCCCCAGTTTAGTAATCTCTGTTCCTGTGCTTTTGGGGTCTTGCCCAAGCCTAAGGATTCCCTGAGACTTAAAGGTCAGTAACACAGAACAATGATTCATTAGTCTCAGGGTATACTGGAGTCTCCCCATTTGGGAGAGCTCTGAGAATCCGATCACCTTGGAAACAACAGTAGGTTCTCTGAATATGCACAGAGGGAATATTTTTTTAAGCACTATAAGAAAACAAGGCTGAGTTATCCGCAAATGTAAGTCACGATTCAAAACTGTCACTGACTCGGAAGCTTCTCTAGTCAGGAATAGTATTGTCAAGCTGACAAGTCACAAATACTTTTACTAACCAAACTGGTAGTTGGGGAGCAGCTCAAAAATATCCCATCCCTGTCTTTATTTTTCATTCTCAAAGCAGAAAGATTTTCACTTATTCAACTAGCCAGACTACTGTTGATGCAGTTACCACTAGAACAGCGACTATTAGATATCAAGTCACCCATGTCCTTTGTAGAAATCCTGATTCTGGGAAGGAAGTATAGAAAATACACTGATAGAAGACATTTTGAACCTTCAGACGGTGCGGCTTGCCTTGATGTAAGTGGCTATGGGCGTGGAAGATCGGTTAGGAGAGAATAATTTCTCTTGGATTATCCCTACTAGTATTACAAGTTATTTTGTCTGAAACATTAGTCTATTTTCCCTATTGAATAATCAGGTGAATGAAATCAGTTCTTTGCTTGTTCTATGTGTTGAAAGGGGTTAAACAACATCGATCAAATATCTCCTCCTCTGTTATTTTTCTCAACAAATTGAACCAAATTTACGGAGCTCCTGTTGTGCCAGGCACTGTGCCAGACATCGGAGATACAAAGATGAATGAGGAAAAGTCCTGATTTATTAACGATCTCTCAAGAATTGCAGAAGAGGGAGGGAGCCGAGTCTCGCCTGTCGCTACCGCCTTCCCCCTTCCACAACTGCCTGGACGACTGTCGAACCAGTCGTGAGTGTGCGTACTCCACTACTCTGGGTTCTGGGAACACGTTACTCCCTGGCCGGCCCACGAACCTAGCGCCAGTGCTGTCTCGTTTCCAGGAGCCAGACACTCAAGTTCAACTCCGGAGCCACGGCGCCCGCTCAGCCACGCACGGTGGCCGACTCTTCCACCTGTCCGCCCGCCCGTCGGGGTGAGCTAGACCCCGCGCCCGCTTACTTTGCCGCTGTCGCTCACGCCGAGAAGGTGATCCCGCAGCACCTCCATGGGGCAGGTCCAGGTGGAGTGGACGAAAGTCCCTCGGAAGATGTGCGCCAGGGGCGGCATCCGAGCAGCACACATATCAGCGGCCGAGCGCAACGGGGGGTCCGCGAGCCGAGGAGGGCACACCGGGCGGAGACGTGGCTGGGTTCCCTGCAGCTGCCGGTGGCTGCAAGCGGGCACCGCTCTGGTCTCGTCCTGCCCCCGCTTCCCCCGGCAATCGCCTGCCCCCTGCAGGCCGCGCCCAGGGGCCGGCTCGTGGCCTCCTGATGCCAATAGGATTTTTCTCCTGGGAGTAAGCTCCGCACTCCAGTGAGGTGTGGTCTTTCTCTCCTCCCCTGCGTTAGTTTTTGATGTGTTAACTCTTTGAGTTTGCCAAATCTCCGCTCACGTTGCAGTTCCTTTAATCCGTGGTAGCTGAGTCACCCACCCAGGGGGCAGGAGATAAAGGAAAGAGCTAGAGAATTCAGGATTCTACTACCTTTTGTTGGTGACTAAATTTGCTTCTGTTCCCTGTCCTCTAGCCTCCTCCAACTTTCTTTAGCTGGCACACCTAGTGTTGTGTCTGTCAGCTTTCTCTGCCTGCTCAACTCTTGGGGCAATTTGTAGCCAAATCCGGGATCTCTGCAACCCGGAGCACCCACACGATCTGAAGTGGCACATGGCGGAGACGGTGAAAGGTCAGTTAGGCTGCCAACAGTTTCATTTTCAGCTTCTGCTGGCTGCAGAATTTGTTATGACCTGATAGTTTGGAAGCTGGTATTATAGAATTGGATGTTAATTTAAATGCCAAAGTTTCTCTCTTCACCTTGAGGACAATGTTTTGGCCCTTAGTTCCACGCACATACAATTGACGTTCCAACTTTGATTTTTCTCATACCTAAAATAACAAATCTCTTCGATTTTTTTTTTTTTTTTTTTTATTTACTTCCAGCTGTACAGGGGAGAAAAGTAAGTCCTCAGTCAGTTCCCTAGAAACAGTGTGTGGCGTGGCTTCTTGGAAAGCTGGATGAAGGGTTGGGAGACCAAGCTCAAGACACGCGGCTCACAACATCCTGCTCATCCTCAGTTGTGAAAATGGAACTAGGACTGGGTGGCTGCTAGGACTTACCCTAGGTCAGCATTTCTTCCTCCTGCTACATCCACAAAGTCTTTTATGTAGTTTACCTAGAAGCATAGGCTGCTCCTCCTGCCCTTACCGTCTCCTGTGGACCTTCACATGCGTCATACTTCTCATCGAGGTCAAATGCACACTTTTCAGCGTAAACTTCCCCTACCATCAACCTAGTATACACACCACAGCCCCACAAAGCTTTTATTCCATGTATGTGTCTTAATTATGCCGTTGCATTTTTCATATCCATCCTCACTTTCTTCCAGTTTATTTCTGCTTCCCTCTACACACATACATGCAGTGATACAAATGCCGAAAGACCAGGAGTTTTATGCTAGGAAAGTGCCTGTTGTTCTATATGTATTAACTAAATAAATGAATTGATGGTTTTTCTGGAGAAAGAAATATTTATACAATAACCTGTTATCGACATTTATTTGGGCTCCTCCATCATGGATTCATTGCAGTATGTAGGCAAGCTGTCTCTAAGTTGCTGCTTTTATGGCACAGGGCTAGTTTACATAAATGGTTCACTCTCTCTCGGTTCCTTCACCTCCCTGTGTATCAATATCTATGGTGACCAACTCATTCCAGTTTATGGAGGACTTTTGGCATTGTAGCACTGCAAGTCTCAGGATTCAGGAAGCTCTTCAGTCCCAGAGGTGGTTGGCCAAGGACTTGAGATAGGAAGCCCTAACATTGATAGCATTGCACCTGCCTCATGTAGACATCAGCACTTTGTCCCTGTCATTTTCTCCTGATTCTGCAGCTTAAACTGCCTCCTTTTAGTTCCAATAGCCAACACCTGAAAACATCCTCTTACATACAAATTTCTGAAAGAAAGATAAAGAAAATGCCTGCGTTTTAAAAGAGGAGTCAATTAAATGTTTCTAAAAGATGTATACATTTATTTAATGAAAGCAATCAAAATGCCCAACCATGAGACTAGTTTAGTGAATTAGAATTTATCTACTCTGTAGAATATTTTATAATTATTAAAAACAATGTGGACATATGTAGCCACATGAGACTTACATATAATAAAATTTTAGGTTTTCAAAAATACATTCATACTACGGTTAAAATCATGAAAAGTCTATAAGCTTATGAGCTAGAATTGAAAAAGTATACCAACCAGGGGTATGACTCTGACAATGGAATTGCTAGGGGATTTGATTTGATGCTTATTTGATTTGATGCTTTGTGTTATGGGTGGTTTGCGAAATGAATGATCATGAGCTAGCTTTAAACCAAATTAGTCTTCTTGAAGAAGGAACGATCATGGGTCTCCAGGTGACATGGTGTTCGCTCTCCTCAGGTAAGACCTCTTTGGTTGGCCCTCCCTGGTGGTGCAGCAGGTTAAAGCACAGCACAAAGAAGCTAAAGCCACTTCCACATGAGTTCGATTCCCGCTGCCCCGGAGGAGATCCACATGGCATGGCAGACTTCTCCTGACCCGCCAGCTGCTCCCCTCAGCAATGTACTTCGTCCATCTGCTTGTTCTGCTCCCCACTTTGTCTCCGGTGAATCCTCTCACCCTCCACATCTCTGGCCTGTACCCCAGTTCCATATGAATAAATAAATAAATCTTAAAAAAAAAAAAAACTCTTTGGCGCAGTACACAGTTCTGCTATACCAAGTTGTAGGTATCCGCTCAGAATCCAGTACTTCACACACACATGGAGAATTCTTAGATTGCCAACTGTTCTCATCTATTCTCCACCCTCAGACTTGGTGACTCCTTTAAATTGTTGACTCTCCTGCAATTTCTTTTCCCATCCTGTTATGCCCAGGGAATGTTTGGAAGGCCACTGAGGAAAAAAGGTGTGCTGAGCTTTTATATTCACCTTTGAAACATAGCCCAAGCTCATCACAAGGCAGTTTATGATTAATATGGTTATTCTGACTGGGGCAAAGTAGGGAACAAATGGTGTTTATTGTGCCTCCAAATTCTCAAGGAAATAACAGCTCTTACTCCTCAGCTCTTCCTATAGCCTTTGTTTTAGATCATGCAATATTAGAACTGCAAGAGTCTTAGAGACCTTCTATGTGCATTTCCTTGCTATTCCCTATCCTCCCTCATCAGTAATGGCTCATTTCAATCATTCCCAACTCACTTCTCCAAAGGAGTTCCAGCAATTGTGTGCACTACTGTTTTGAGTGCCCTACTGTTCACATGCAACCTTCAAAAGAAAAGACATTCTCAGTAGAGATGTTTGCGGGGCCTCAGAGGTTTCTTCCGGCTCTCTTCCCTTCAGTCTCCCATATCTTGTGGATGATTTTCCTCTGCCTTTGGTGCCTTATGTCATTACTCTGTGCTTACCTCTGTTAGAATCCACTCTCCCCTGGCTAAATCCTTCAGCTTAATTGCCCACTCCTACTCCCATCCAGGAAAATCTTTACACCACCTCTTTTTCTTAAGAGCTCCTTCTGAGACTGTGGGATGCTAAATTGTTCCTTTACTAGTCAGTTTAACCCAGGAGATTGTGGTCTCCCTAAAAATCATGTCCTTTTCCTTTGTCTTCCCTTCACACAGTAATTGCCCAATAGGAGGCGCTTAACAGCCTGATATGAATGCTGAATTTCAAGAGATGGCTATATTGACTATATTTTAGTGGTAAAAATAAGAGTGCTACTTGCTAATGGTAAGCAATTCATTGGAGCAAAAAGTGAAAGCAGCTTTTCTACTTGTTTAGCTTTCCAACACTTACTATGAAATGTTTCAAAATATACTGAAAAATTGAAAAGATTCATTTCTTAAGATCACATTGCTCCCTTCCTCAGATGGAGCCAAATGTCTCAAAACTCCCCAACTACTGGGTGGGAGTGCTCATTGAAAGAGGCAAAGAATGGGGCCATAATAGCATGATCAGTTCTGCCATTTCGGTCATCTTACCAGTGTAATTACACTGCAACTAGTCAATCCTTCCTGCTAGATAGAATTCGAATATATAAGAAGGTTTCCCATTCTATTACCTCATTTTAAGCCTTACAACAACCTTATAAGGTTATTTAACCATTCCACGCATAGGACACCTGAGGTTCAGGGGGTTGGCTTGCCTATCTATTAGTAGAAGATGGATCTGCGGGTGAATCCAGTTGTTCTCACACATTGTGACTTGCATCTTGTCACAGTAAGCTTCAAAGAATTTTCCATTCAACATTGCCATGACTCACTTGGTCATTGCATTGTAGGTTGTCATCTACAACTTTCTCGTCGTACATGGTTTTCCACAATTGTCAGTGGCACAGAGAGCAACTATGAAAGTGGGAATAACAGACATAGAAGAGAACAATCCAATCAGCGTAGGTCAGTAAAATGAACCAGTGAGAATAACTCTTGTTTTCACGAGGCAGAGTGAAGGACAGGCAGGTTAAATGAGAAGCCGCTTTCCTCTCCTACCCAGGAGAGAAGTTGTCATTGCACAGTGAAATAAATGCCAGCCTATTTTATTTATTCTTTTCGTGTAGCTAAATCCATCAGTTTCCATGGCACTCCATGTTCACCATGGAAACTCTGACAAGCTTGTTATGCTTTAAGAAAAAAAAAAAAAAGGCACACCAAAAATCCGAGATGGGATAAATGGATTCCTTTTAAAAACGTGTTCTTCTGAGTGGGAAGTCTTGATGGACAGCAAAGCATAATGATCTCAATTTTCCAGTTCTTAAGTGAGAACACAGGTTTGCATACTCACCAAAGAAGCACCTTTGGCTCCCAAGCCCACACTACTTGATCTATGTAGCAGTAGTTATGTCTGTTAGTATTTCACTTCTGAGTGTACTGGCAACACAGCAATGGCTCAATCCTCGTTTAGCTGATTTTTATGAGAATTAAGGGCTATATTTTGTGGTTTATTCATTTATCAAGTATTGGGAATTGATATGATGATAGGTACCATGCTAAACACACTAGTTATGATAATGTATGAAACATGTTGTGTCTATATGCAACCAACACTATTCATCTTTCCATCACTTCTAGTAGCAAAATGAACAGTTTTCATAGTGCTACCATAAGAGTTCCCTAGCAAGCCAGCAAACAGTATATTATCTCTTGCTACATATTAAATTTTAAGTGCTAAAAACTAGTTAAAAGCACTTAAGGCTGAACTTGAAATGACACATTGATAACAATGCA